ATGCATGCATATAAGCATAACCAATGGACATAAGACACTGGGGGATGGGGGAGGCTAGGGGACTGTCTTGGGCGGGGGGAAAAATGGACACATATGTAATACCCTTTGTAATAAATAAAAATAAAAATAAAGAAATACGTATACATAAAATTAACCATTTTAATTCAGAGTCATTTGTCACATTCACAGTGTTGTGCAACCACCATTGATATCAAGTTCAAAAACAGTTTTATCACCCTAAAAGAAAACCCTGTACCTAGTAAGCAGCCACTCTCTATTCTCCCTTCTCCCCCCAGCCACTGGCCAATTTGGTTTTTGTTTTATGCATTTTTCTATTTTGGATATTTTATAATAGCCTAATACAATATGCAACATTTTATGTCTGGCTTCTTTTACTCAATGCTTTTGAGGCTCATTCATGTTGTAGCATTTATCGGTACTTCATTCCTTTTTATAGCTGAATAGTATTCCATTGTATGTATACACCACATTTCATTTATTTGTTTATTGATGTATATTTGGATCGTTTCCATCTTTTAAACATTGTGAAAAATGCTTTTATGAACATTCATGTACAAATATTTGTTTGAGTAACCTGTTCCTAAGTGTTTTTATTGTTATACTGATACTTGATTTATTACATAATTCAATATAATGTGATACAAAATTGAATTTTTAAAAAACTGAAGAACTTGTGGTTTTTTAAGGTGGTGTTTTAATCTTTCTTCCTCCCTTTTTCTTACAACCAATCTCAAATACCTTTATTTTAGAAGGGCATCAAAACTGTGGTGTTTGAAAGGGTAGTGGAATTCAAGGTGTTTTTTTGTTACATAACCTGTCCATTTTCTGAATACTATTTCCTTTAAGAGTTCATTATTGGTCGAAAGTATTAAGCTGTCATAAAGCTGAGTAGTTATAAGATATTTTAATCTTTTAATGTTATTTCATGTTCATTTCTGCCTTTTTGCCAATGTATTTCTTCTAAGTTATTCTACTGTTAACATGAAGAGAAAATAAATAGGTCATGATGCCTCATGTTTGAACTTTAGCATAGCTCTTGACCACCAAGGGGTTTGGGTTACTCAGCAATTGATATTGAAGGCTAGTCTTATAACACATGTCATGTTGAGCTGTGTCAGACAGCTGGAGCTGTCCCATCATCAGGTGACCAGTTTTTAGGTCACCTGGATACCAGATGGGCTGAGCCCCAAAATGGCGCCAGGCAGGAGTATGTTTAAGAAGAGTTAGCTGCTGCTCAACTTAAAGCGAAACATTGAATATTTTCATATATATTTTGTAATAAAGCAAGTTTTACACTAAATATTGTGATTAGAAAAATTAAGTTCACCATAAATATCCTAGAAGAAAGCAAGCAGTAAAATCTTGAACATTTCTTGAAGCAGTATTTTTTTTCTGATATATAGCTTCAGGCAAGGGAGTCAAAATAAAAATAAACAAATGAGACAACATCAAAATAAAAAGCTTTTGCACAGCAAAGGAACCCATCAACAAAATGAAAAGACAACATACTGAATGGGAAAACATATTCGCCAATGATATATCTGATAAGGGATTAATATTCAAAATTTATAAAGAACTTACACAACTCAACACCAGGAATACAAACAACCCAAAAGAAATGGGCAAAGGACCTAAATAGACAGTTCTCCAAAGAGGACATACAGATGACCAGTTGAATATGAAAAAATAATCAATGTTACTAATCATCTGAGAGATGAAAATTAAAATGACAATGAGGTATCACCTCACACCTGCCACTATGGCTGTCGTCTACAAATCAACAAAAATA